AAAATCCATTGTTTTATGTCATGAATCCAACCAAATGAAGGTATTTTTTAATTTTAACAACTTGCTTTGAGTATTTCTAACCCACACCTACCTGATGTTCCATGATAAACCTTAATAAAGATTAGGTAGATTTCTAAAAAGATGACTAGGCATGTTCTAGAAGAGTTATTAGACTGTGATGTGAGTGGTGGTTAAACACACCCTATCTTTAATTGACCCGTGCTTTTAAAATAGGATTAGCTTTATTTGACAGTTGTAGATTTTAAATGGTGGTAAACATGGCTTTAGTGAGGAATAGCCTTAAGTGTAAGCCATAGCTAGAGTAAATATTTGGGTAGAAATTACTGACAATTTTTGTTAAGTCTAGATGTGAACCTGACTAGGAACAAATTAGAAGTTTGAAAGAAGGACAACAATACCAGACGTGTTTTCTACATAGTCCCTTCTGAAGGGACACTACTCATGTACTTATTATTTTAAAAATATTTACAATATTTACAATATTTTAAATGGCATACAGTATTCAAGCACTCTCTACCTTCTCTTTTGTGAACTGTTTATCTTTTATGCTTACTCCTCAGTTACTGTATGTAGTTACGTTTATGATATGGAAGAAATGGAATCCAATGTTATCCATCAGCAGAAGTAGGAAAATCCTACTTAGCAGAACCAGGAAAAGTTTTGGTACTAAATACCAAATATTTTGATATTTGTACATAGGTAATAATAGACATCTAGTTGAAGTAAGATAATTGAGATTAATAGTTTGACTCTTTTTGATGATGAACAATAATCTTAAAACCTTTCTATTGTTGCCAGTAGTCTTCCAAGCTCAACAGCTGCTCATTATGATTAAATCCATTTACAGCAATGGGATATGTCATAAATGAATATGCCCATCAGTACTGTCATTTGAGGGGGGGCTGTTGGGACCCCGTCCCCAAAGATACATGGATTTTGATGGTTTTATTGACAGGGCCAATCATGTCTAATTATTCGAGGTTTGAATTTTGTTGATTGTACAGCTTTGTTTTTATTCATGCATATCCCCCAAATCTATTGGAATCAGGACAGATTATAATTACAGTTAATCAATAAAGTAAATGTGAGAGAAAGTTGGAAGAAAGTTATGCTAAAAAATCTATGTCTTGGTTTTCTAGTTTAGTGGGTGTGTATTTATACAGTGGAGAAGAACAGAAATGTCTGCACGTATCAATTGATAAGGACCAGAGTTAGCAATGTTCTGACTAATAATCAAAGGTTGTGTGCAAATGAGAGCCAGTATGGTGGAGTGATTATGAAATAGATTGGCTCTGGAGAGGCCTGTGTTCTAGCTCTTAAATACTGTACGTGACTTTGGGCCAGTCACTCTCTCAATCCAACATACCATATTTTTTGGAGTATAAGACGCACTTTTCCCATCCAAAAAAGTGAATGGAAATGTCTGTGTGTCTTATACAGTGGGGGGGAGGGGGATTGGTGCAGCGCCGATCAGCTGTTCTAGAACGGGCGGCAGCGGCGAACGTGCCATGGCTCATTTGCTGCCGCCACCCATTTTCCGCTGCCCAAACATACAGTGAACAGGAATTGTTGCTCAGATTCAGTTTTAGCTTATTTTGTTCCATCCAGACAGTCACCAGGTATTGGGACAGGACAATAACAGATCTCCTGTCTGACCCAGAATGGTGATGTACAGTTGGGTATCATCAGCATATTGTTGTTAAGAGATCAGTCTTATAGCATTGGGAAGACAGATGTTTGGCCCTATTTATATAGTGGATTGATGCTCCTTGTGAGTGAAGAACATTTTGCTTATAGATATAAGATTATGCATGGATGAATGATGAAAAATGGGCCAATAAGGAATAAAGAAAAAAAAAACCCAATGATGTCACCAGTGGATAACCTGAACCAGTGGATAGCAGGAGCTTCAGGTTGACATTAAAAAACAGCAGAAAAAATACCAAGTCCTGTTCCCAACCTCCCCCAAAGGAATAGCTGTCTCACCAACCTCTTCTCCCCTTATGTCAAGTGGAAATGCCAGCTAAGGAAAGAATGGAATAATTGTAATATAAGACTTCTCTTAGCTGGCCCAGAGGGGATACCATGGTTGATGGTGCTGAAAGCCACTGAGGGCACAGGAAGCATTTGCCACTTTTATTCATAAAACAATAAACCTGAACTTTGACTGAAACAGGTTCAGATAGCCTCCTATCTCTAGACTTCTCCATGGCTGTCAATGACCACAATCTCCATAACCTTTATCCTGAAAAGAAAAGTTAGAGACAGAGTTATAGTTATTAAAGACTGCTGGGTGCAGATAGGGCCTCTGAAAGTGGAAATATATTATAGCCTATTTAAAAATTGCTGGCAACACCTCTTCTTGAAGAAGAGATTGATAATTTTTTGAAGCCATTTTATCCCCTTTCATATTTCAAAGCTGACAGCAAGGGAATGGCTCACATTCTAAGTGTTAAAAGCCTCTTGGCTTTTTAAGAGGCCAAATTGAATTCCATTTAATTAATATTTAGAAAGAGCAATTATAGCAATTATAGCACATAGAGACTTTTAGATTTGTTGCAGAGTTGTAACAGGGTTGGGTGGACTACAAATATAAAATTAAACAGAGTCTAATCCAAAACCACAGAAAATGTGATTTAAAAAAAAATGTGCCAGAGGACATTCTGTTAATTTTGATGTAATAGATTAATGTGTCTACTCTTTGTGCCAAGAGCAGTGGAATTTAGTTGGCTTCACGATTCTGAATGGACAACAATAGAATAAAGGGAAAAAAGAATTGAAATTCTTCATAGTTGAGAAGGAAGCATTCTAACCTTATCAGTGATATAGTATTATCTTGTGTCCTCCTCTGTCTCCCAATAAGCTACCTCCCCAAGGCCAGTTTCAATGCACATAATCAGGTTAAAGATATCTACTTCCACAGTGAGCATATCAATTTGTATTTTGTACTTTGCATTCTGCATTTTTAGAACTGGGGGTGGCGATTATCAGCCATTGCATTATTGGATAACATTTGCCTGAAATGGATCTCTAGGAACAATATACACCTTCAGTCATCTGTAGTCTTCTCCTCTTTGGATAAACCAATTATTATGGCAAGATGTAAAACTGATAGAATTTAAAACTGGTAATATTTAGAAAGGTGCAATATAACTTGTCATATACTCAGGTGTTAAATAGATTTTAAACTCATTGAGTTCAATGGAGCTTAGACAGGTACAGCCTAAATATACTTTACAAATTTAAATATGTAAAAGGTATTTAAGCTTGATGTAAGGTTGAATTATGATCAAGCAAACCGCAGCACTTTTTGAAATGATGCCTCCCTCCTCCTTTCACCCTGCTTAATCAAATCTGTCCCATATTTTAGGGCTCCTTAGAACAGATGTTAAGATGCCTGGAGACTGCAGAGGAAATGGAAGCTTGCTTTTTTCTTGATACCATCCCATCAACTGACCGATTGGATTCAACCCTAATTTTAGTTCTGAAAAAGAACTTTTATGTCTACAAATTGGAATTAATATTTTGCAAACAAACTGGGTTCAACCAGTCACCCTAAGTGCACATGCGTGGCATCAGTCACTTGTGGAATTGGTTGTCCATTTGTTTTTATTTCATGATTTACGGCTAAAGTAACTTTCAGATTCTGTGTATGTTTGTCTGTTTCTGGGTATATATACTGAGTTTCAGCTATGTATGGTTGAGTGTACAGAATAGGTCCAAGTTGTAAAGGTCACTTGTTTTGATATGAAGCTAATGGGAAGCAAATATCTGCAGAAGTGCAAGAGGGATGGCCTCATACAGGTTGCTAAGCAACAGACCACAAGAATTTGTTCACTCACAAGGCCATGTCGCCTGTTCAGTTTGTTTATGTCAAGCACTCCACCACCCAGAATGATAAACGAAGGTAAGGTGGTGGGGGAAACGTAGCATGTCTGTAGCAGTTGTAATTCTCCATTCTGCTTGTGGTAGATAAATGGTTCTGCACTCCTGCTCTTTTTGTCTCTCCTCCCTTAGGGAAAGAGAAAAAAGAAAATAGAAGACTGGCTGGCTGCCAATTATCACCTTTCCAAATCAGATTGTGTTTGGTTTCGGTTAGACTGCCTGACTGACATGGAATTTGTGGAATTCCACTTTGCATGTGTGGAATTTAGAACAAAACCTCTTTCATTAAAGTACAAAGGCCATCATGTTCAAATCATTAGTTTTACGACATATTCTTGGGAGTAATTATTGCCAACTTGGGCACTGAGTTTCGTTAAACTTTCTTTGGTATTTGATTTGTGCTTCAGAACAGGTTGATAATATGTATCACTTTTCAGAAATAGTAAAATATTAAACATGTCCCACAGTTAGAAAGATGAGAGGGCATTAGCCTTTTGCTTGAATCCATTTCACGGCCATAGCTACTTTTACTAGTTACTGGTTAATAGCGTGTTGCAGTATAGATTACCCAGAAGAAAACACCTTAATCTCAATTTACTATCTGTAAACCAGACTTTGACCTGTATCTATCAAGTGTTCTTGAACACAGTTGCTGCCATTAGCAAAGATATATAAACTAAATGCAAAATGCATATGAATTAGTCCGGAATAATATGTCGACTTCTGATTTTTTGTTCCCTTTGCATGTAGGGTCCCTCATTCTATAAACCTGGTTTCCCCTGTTTTGTGAATATGTTTCAGTGATCTTCATCTCAAATAACCTGGAAAAAACAATATAAGGCAACTCATATATTCTTTCTCTGACGTCTGACTGAACAATGCCACTGTGTTTACATGGCTCTGTAATTCAGGCTTATAGCATTAAACATAGCATAGTAGCTGAAGGAAGAATCTGAAAATAATGTCAGTGTAGTGATAAATAAATACATTTTAAATCAAAATTATATATTGAGTTTTCAATTAAGCAGAGATAGATTATGCTTACATAGTCTTGGTTAGTACAATGACAATGAAAACATTTATGTCTTTTACAGTACTGTTGCTTGAGAAGATAGAAAATGATGATATTCACAACAAAACTCTGAAAATCACAGATTTTGGCTTGGCAAGAGAGTGGCACAGAACAACCAAAATGAGTACTGCAGGCACCTACGCATGGATGGCTCCTGAGGTCATCAAATCATCTGTGTTTTCTAAAGGAAGTGACCTTTGGAGGTAAAGTGTTTAAATGACTTCTATATAACTAAATAAAATTTGAGTCAACCTTATGTTCAATGGTTTTCTCCTAGTATGCATGCAAAATAACCTTAACGGGGTCTATTTTTTATTGACAAGGGTTTTTTAAAAAAATAGAAGATGCTTAATTTTTAGATTTAAGCAGTAATTGCATAGTACTTTTAAACTGTAAAGGATTTCAAAGTAGTATAAATAATAAACAGGTTCTGAAACTCATTGAAGCCTAAATAATTCTAGATGTGGAATTTTAGACATTACTCTGTGGATTCTGTGATAGGAAAATGCAATTTTGTGAGTACAATAATTCACAAAACCCTCCCATGTATTAACAGTTTCTTTTACTCTATAAGTGTTGTGTGTGGAGAATAGTACACATGGTTCTTAGCCATAGGGCTGTTGGAGACAGTACAGATAGTCCTCGACTTACAACAGTTCATTTAGTGACTTCAAAGATACAATGGCACTGAAAAAAAATCTTATGACCATTTTTCCCACTTACAACTGTTGCAGCATTCTCATGGTCACATAATCAAAATTCATATGCTTGGCAATTACGGTAATTCATATTTATGACCATTGCAGTGTCCTGGAGTCATGTGATCCCCTTTTGTGACCTCTGACAAGCAAAGTCAATGGGGAATCCAGATTCACTTAACTAACTTAAGAACTGCAGTGATTCACTTAACAAGTGAGAGGAGCCTGGATAGCTCAACAGACAGAGCACTGTAATTTAACACCAGCTGTCTGCAATTAAAGTAAGATCAAATCTCGGCAGGCTCAAGGTTGACTCAGCCTTCCATCCTTTCTAAGGTAGGTAAATTGAGGACCCAGTTTATGGGGGCAATAAGCTGACTTTGTATAAATATATAAAAGTATGAAGGCTATTGCTTAACGCACTGTAAGCCGCCCTGAGTCTCCGGAGAAGGGCGGCGTATAAATCAAAATTTTAAAAAAAAATGTGGAAAGAAAAGTCGTAAAATGGGGCAAACCCATTTAACAAATGTTTCACTTAGCAACATAAATTTTGGGGTCAATTGTGATCGTAAGTCGAGGGCTACCTATAGTGAGTTTGCACATCACACTAAAGTTTAATGTGGATTGATTCACTGTTTTCTACACAACATGCTTAAATAAACCATAGTTTAGCACAAGGTACAAAGGCCCTCGCCTCCTTCCAATCTTTTTGCTGGAAGATGAGAAGGCATATCTGGAAGGACAGGTCTACTTCAGAGAGCTTTTTGTCAGGCCGACAATATTCTAAAAGTGATCTAATATGCTCTTTAATTAAATGGATGTATGCTGTAATAAATCTGATACTCGTGTATTAATAAAGGTGGGTTGAAATAGCTCTCAAAAACGTAATAACTAGTGACAGGACGATATGAATTCGACATTAAAAAGTAACGTTTTATGCCAAGAGACAATAATACCAAATTTAATTATGGAGAATAAGCCGCTTTGTCAAATTCTTTGGTTTGAGCAGTTATTCTGCCTTGGCTTCCTGGTTTGGATATATTACTTCCGATTTTCTAAGTTTTATAAACTGGATCGAAGACAGTGTCAAACCCATGTTTAAAAAATAAAAAGCAAAAGAAACATAGGGTTTATATATTCTTATAATGCAATTACAAAGAGGCCTTCTAAGGCAGGGGTCTCCAACCTTGGCAACTTAAAGCCTGGCGGACTTCAACTCCCAGAATTCCCTAGCCAGCTTTGCTGGGGAATTCTGGGAGTTGAAGTCCTGCA